CGCTCCGAGTAGATCTCCCCCCAGCCGAAGAGCAGCGGCGCCAGCGAGATGGCTGCGGACAGCGCCCACGTCAGCGCGATCATGAGGTTGGAGACGCGCCGACGCGTGCCCCGCGTGTACGCCAGGTGGCGTGTGATGGACCAATAGCGGTCCAGCGCGATGGCCATCACACTCCAGATGCTAGCTGTGCAGCAGAGAACATCGCACGCGATCCACAGCTGGCACAGCCGCGCGCCCAGGCGCCAGCGACGCCCGGCCAGCTCGTGCGCCAGACTCAGCGGCATGACCAGCGTGGCCACCAGCACGTCCGAGATGGCCATGGACACCACCAGGTTGTATGGAGCGCGGTGGAAGGTGCGCACATGCGCAATTGTCGCCAGTACCAGCGCGTTCCAGGCGAAGGTCGCTGCCACCAGACAGCCGAGCAAGGTCAGCACAAACGCACCGAGCACCGAGAGGCGGAGCGGGCGGGGGCGTGGGTCTTCTGTGCCCAGGCTGAGGTTGGTCGTTAGGTTCCCAGGCAAATCCATCTTGGGTCAGAAGCCCGGCCCAGGGTGCGTGCCGAGGGCTTTCAAGAGGACATAAGTTGTCACTAAGCAGTGGCAGGGCTGCTGGGACCTGCTGCCTGTGAGCATCTGTGGGAGATGGCGTGGCGGAGAGGAGGCGCTGCGCTACACGCAGAGGCAGGTCTGAGCCCCTCCGGGGCTAGGGAAGCGGGGCCCGCCTCAGCTGCCGCCGCCCGCCCGGGGCTCCCCGCCTTGGCGGAGACAGCAGTCTGGTCACCCGTAGCCCAGCATCTCCCAAGCCGGGAAGAAGCTGGGCGAAAAGGGTGGTGCGTCAGAACAGGACTCCCAGGCGCGCTGCCCGCGTGCCCGCCCCTCGCTCCAGGCGGCAGGCGGCAGCCTCGACTGCATGCGGGAAGCCAAGCCAGGACCTGGTGCTTTCGGGGACCTGCCTCCGCTGCCCCTGCCCCACCCGGTCTGGGGCTGCAGCTCCGGGGAGGGAATCCCAAGGTGCCCACCCAGACCAGCTTTATCAGACAGGGGACCCAGGCTACGTCAGAGTCAGCTGATAAAGTCGCCCCTCCCCACCTCTCACCCAGCTGCAGTGCTGTCGCTGTCCGTGGTGCTGCCGCCTCTCCGCACCTAGCGCTTTGTCTCATTTGGTGCTGTCCGCGGTTCTGTCGCTTTTCCCTGAAATAAGTTCCTGAGGGGAGCAAGTGTATCAATGAACTTTCCTTTATATATATAATTTGTATTGGTTTCAGAGAGGAAGGGAGAGGGAGATAGAAACATCAATGATGGGAAAGAATCATTGATTGGCTGCCTCTTGCACGACCACACTGGGGAGCCCTCAACCTGAGCATGTGCCCTGACAGGGCATCAAACCGTGACCTCTTGGTTCATAGGTCCACGCTCAACCACTGAGCCACGCTGGCCAGGCCCAACGAACTTTCCTTGAAATGTTCCTCAAGCCGCCCCCTGCCCACATCTCCCAGGGGTGGTCTGGATACCCAAGCGGGTCCCAGCTCTGCGCAGGCACTTGTCTTCAGTGCAGGTGTCCCAGTTTAGGGTCTAAGATAATATCACTGGCTTTTTTCTCCAGAGATTTCGGTTTCCTCCCTCTTACACCCCTCCCCCACCCAGTGCTTCTCTTCAAAGGCAGTTTCCCTTTAAGGGGAAAAGGCAAGATATCAGTTACTGCTGTTCCTGGAGAGGCTGCGGTGGAGCCAGCACCTTTAGTCATCTTTCCAGCATCGCAAAGAACCTGCCAGACTCCAGTGGGCTCTGCCAAGCTCACTTCCAGGGAAGGGAACATCGGTCACAGGTTGTCTGAAAAGCGCCATCTCACCTAAAGGGGGGGGCATTTAGTTCTTCCCCAGGCATGCTCACATACACACACCCACAGTAGCTGAGGAAATACTGAAAGCTCCTGCCCAGAGTTACGACTTCAGGCACTGCACAAATAGACACGTGATATGCAAGATCACATAAGTGGGGATGAGGAAAAAGACGACACCAAGAAAATAAAGTGGCATTACGCATATTTTAAGTGCATACAGTGGGTGTCATGAACTCTGTACATTGACAGTTAGGTGGCCTTTAAGCTACTTTAAAAAGGAGACACATGTCTTTTAAAATATATACATACACTAGTATTTTTATTGATTTCAGAGAGGAAGGGAGAAGGAGAGTGAGATAGAAACATCAATAATGAGAGAGAATCACTGATCAGCTGCCTCCTGCAGGCCCCCTACTGGGGATCCACAACCTGGACATGTACCCTTGACCAGATTTGAACCCGGGACCCTTCTATCCACTGAGCCAAACAGGCTAAGGCAGGAGACACATGTCTTGTTACAAGATTCGGTTTCTAATAGTGTAAAGAGAGTACACAGAGAGGGACTCGCGCACTGGGCCCAGAGCGAGGGTGCTACTAGGAAATGTTGATGAACATGTTCATTAGATACAAGACGCTTTGCAGTGATGCTTCTCCAAATGTCCCTTAAACGCAGCGATGGTGGCTGCCTGTGTGCAGTGCTCTTGTGTGGTTCCAGCCCCAGGGAAGAACCGTGCTCATTTCCAGCACTTTGCCTTCTGGGGATCACAGAGACAACTGGAATGAGCTCTAACTAGAACCCTCTCTTTGAAAAAAAATGCTCTAAGCAATTCTGCTGGGGTTCGTGTCTCAGGGCCCCGCCCGGAGGAGTGGAGAGCTGCCTCTCTGGCAGGCAGGCCTTGGCGATGGTGTCTCTCCATACAGACCATCGGCACCGCGTGGTGCAGCCGCTTGTGGTAGTCAGGTGAGCAGCGGTCTCCCAGGGGCCTGCTGGCATACCCGAGGATGCTTTGTGAAACCTGGAGTGTCATGAAGTTAAGAACTAAGGAGGATGCGCTCACAAGGAAGGCGTGCACTGGCGTGTGTGCCGGGGAACTGAAGTCTCTGCAGAAATTCTGTTTATCTCATACAGACACAGAGGAAACATCAGAGCTTTTCATCTTAAAGCAGGGCCATCATTTTAGCTTAAAAAATGCAAGCAGCACAGCACTCCCGCCTGCCATAAAGTGCCTCCAAAATGCCAACTTTGAGAGACAGTTTCTTGGTTTGCCCCCTCTGGGCTGAATTGGTGGTAAATTCTCCCTCAACATTCACGTCCTAACCCCCAGACTTCAGAATGTGGCTGGTTTGGAAATTGGGTCTTTAAAGAGATGATCACATTAAAATGAAGTGAGTCAAACTAACAGCTTTTTTATGAAACACCATTTTCACTTGAAAGAACTCCCGGCAGATAAACTATGATGATTCAGGCTTAGCTATCTGGCACGAATTTTCTCAAATAAACGAAGTGAGGCTTCACTTTAAAGAAATCGACAGGACTGGTGACCCCAAATAACATCGGAGGCCTAAGTGAAAATCAGGATTTTGGAAAATGTCTCTCTGCCACTGTGACATTGACAGCTTCCCGGTGCTTAGACCTGCTATTGATGGCGATATTAACAAATGTGATTTTAAAGTCCTGTTTAATGACGTGTTCAGACCGGGAAGGTCTGGATGACTCAGTGATCCACTATCATCCCAATGACTAGAGCGTGACGCTGCAGAATCACAGAGCATAAGAGACCCACTTCGAAGGGCAAAATAGACCAATGGATTGTAGCAGAGCAGAGCACAGAAAGTGCTGAGTTCAGATCCCGCACTGCGGCACACCCTGAAGAAACAACCACTTATTACGCTTTGAAATACCATCCCAGCAACACATCTGTAATGATTCGAAAAGATTATTGAAATGCTCCTCTAGCCCAGCCGGCATGGCTCAGGATTGAGCATTGGCCTATGAACCAGGAGGTCAAGGTTTGATTCCTGGTCAGGGCACATGCCCGGGTTGTGGCTCGATCCCCAGTGGGAGGCATGTAGGAGGCAGCCGGTCAATGATTCTCTCTCATCACTGATGTTTCTATCTCTCTCTCTCTCCCCTCTTCCCTCCCTCTCTGAAAAATATATATATATATATATATATATATATATATATATATATATATAATTTTTTAAAAGCAACACTCCTCTACTTGTCAGCTCTCAGTTTCTGTGCAGCTGGATTTTCCTCATAAACTTAAACCAAAATATCACAGATGGATGCAGAGATAGTCATGAGGTTCCACTGTATGGAAGAGATTTGCAACGATATTAAACAATGCCATTCAAACATTTTTTTAAAATGGTTGTTTATCATAAAGATGTCACTTATGTAAACATGTAATGGGTTTATTTGTTTGTTTTTGGTTATTCCTCACCTGAGGCTATTTTCTCCATTGTTTTTCAGAGAGAGTGGGAGGGAGGGAGGGGAGAGAGAGAGAGAGAGAGAGAGAGAGAGAGAGAGAAACATTGATGTGAGAGAGACACATTGATTGGTTGCTTCCCACAAGCACCCAGACTGGGGCCTGGGGGCAAACCTACAACCTATATACATGCCCTGGACCAGGAATAGCAACTCACACCCCTTTATTGTACAGGCTGACGCTCTAACCACTGAACCATACCAGGCAGGGCTGATTTTTTTATTTTTAATGCATGAATACACAAATATGTTTTGAAATTTTCCATTAAAATTAATATTCCAGTAAATTTGCATAGAGAAAACCCATGTAAACAAAACCTCTTTGTAATAATAATTTTGAGGAATATAAAGGAGTCCTGAGACCAAAATGTTCAAAACCTGCTGTTGCAGGCATTCATGGGAACATCACACTATGGTGCGTTCATGGAATAGGGTGAGCAAACCTGTTAGGGTCCTTGGCGAAATGCGTGTGCTCGAAAGGATGGGGAATAAGCCCCGGGAGGTTCAGGCAAATGCAGTAGCAGCGAAGATGTTCGGGTCCCACGTCTGAGGCATTGCAGGACACCCCGTACAACGTGGGAGAAAAACCTCTGCACTGGGGACTTCCCTCCACTACAGGGGACGCATCGTGCTCGATGGTCACAGGCTCCATAGTCCATGTACCCGGTGGGCATGGCAAGGCTGCCAGCTTTGTTTGGGACGAGAGCAGGAAAGGACTCTACAAGTCCTGGAGACGTGGCCAACCTCCTGGTGCTAAGTGCTCCTGTGCTGGGAAGAGCCTCCATGTAGGTCTGAGGGTGAACACCGGTAAGAGTCACAGTATGGACTCCTAGGTTCTGGCTCAAAGTTAGGCCACCTGCACAGAAAACACCGCGCCATTGGCAAAGCCGCTGGTGGTGTGCCCAGGCCGCAGTGGAGGCCGAGCACCTGAGCCTGAGACTCAGGTGACGATGGAATGAGATGAGCCACCTCCACCTGGGTCCTTGAGGCCGCCCGCACCCCCTGCACCCCACGAGATGGGATCCAGGGGACAGAGGCGAATGGCAGTGGTCACAGCAGAGCCGGGTCCAGGAAGCTCCACAAGCAGGTCACCCAGACCACCTGGCCCCGTCACCATGGACCACCTGGCCCTCGGCTCCAAGCTGAAAGGGCGCAAGACAAGCTGGGAGCGGTTCCGGGGGCCAGTGGGGTCAG